ACATTTTTGATTGCATAAGCCTACAGTTGTTGATTTATTACGCCAATCAGTGACATTTAACTATTAGTTTTTGCTATATTACTGTAGCCTTAATGCTGGTTTATCGAGAAAAACGATCAAGTTTGCTTTAAGCATATTATACGACCTTAAGAAATGATTGATACACAAATCAAATCTTTCTTTTAATAAGTAGACATAAAATAAAAATATAAACGTGGTGCATGTTTTGGTGTTCAATTTTTTATTTTTTTTTAACTTTTGTGTTAAAAACGATCGAGAGATCATAACCTATACGTATAAAGGCAATGCACGGTATTGAGAAATGATGTAGGCCCCTAAGTATGCATGAATTTATGTGTCTGAATACATAAAGTTCATTTTGTTGTTGAATAGTCGAATCCAATTGCATGTTAACAGTATACCACCACGTAGATAGTTCTGAAAGATCTGTTATTTCTGTTGAGAATGTCTCGACGTTTCGATTAAGTTGTTTCAATCGTCATCAGGAGAATAATATCTGCAGAGAGTCTTGCAAATGCAACTGCCAAGTTTCTCCACGGGAGAAGTTCACCCAGGGCAGTGGATCTCTTGTAGTCCTAGGACACAACACCACGATTGAATCAATGTTGAATAAATAACAGAAACGCTATAATATAAGTTTTCCTTTTAATGAATTAATTAATTTATTTCGATTTATTTTGACCTTTATAAAAGATAAGCATACATTCAGAATAATATTGTACTTGATAATTTTGCAATAAAATTTTAAAAAGGTGCGTGATTGTTATAATGAATTTATGTCGCATGCGTTTTTCTGTACAGTATATCTTTGTCAAGAAATGTCTTGGCAATGTATGAATACAATAATTACGACAAACCAATTATACATGAACATTAGATGCGCAACCATAAATGATTGATTAGAAGTTAGATTACAAAATATATCCCTACGAATTGAGACTGTTCATGTTTCGTTTGTATTGCATACAATAAATACGATTATTTTAACAACTGTTATTAATTATTTAAAAAAAAAACATTTGATTTAGTGGGTAATTTTTCATTTTACATATAAAATCATCACATACACACCTAGCCCCTTAAGATGACTGTAGGAATACACTAAAGCATTAACAAAATACACAAAAATTCAAGGGTTTAACTCGCATGTTAAGGTAACTGAAATTTTATCGGTCCAATGACAACTTCAATACCAAAAGTTTTCCACAAAATTATTTCTTTAACCTCATACTACCAATTGTGTACTGTATAGGCCCACAATGAAAAACATTTCTTTAAAATGATTGTGTCATCCTGGCTAAAGATATTAGTAAATAAATAAATAAATAAATGTATTTGTTTTAGGCAATAAAATTTGAAAGAAAAAGAAAAGAAGACAACCGGAACGTGATTGAAAGATAGATACGAATGTGTCATCTTTAATTTAATCATCCCAGCTAACAGTACAGTATTACGTTTCGTTACAGTTTCGTGTACAAAACTTTTTATTTATGTAGAACGATAAACATGTTATCATGTAATTTCACAAATAAATGATCGCAGCGTTGCTTCGGCCTTGTTAATTTCGAACATAATTAACCACAACGTTTGCGAATGTTATTGTAATGTTCTGCTGAGATCTTTAAAACATAGGCCTACGCATGTATAAAAAACCTGGGGTTCATAGCCTATCCCAGGACAATAACAACCCCGTGACCATAGCGATGAATCTAAAGAAATCAATAGTCAATCTAGTTAGGCCTATTCACACCTTTTCATGAAAATCCTTTCATGATGGAACTATTGACAAAATTAGCCATGAAGTATTTCTTCGTTCGATTGTGATTCTTATGCAAATCCAGTTTTGAACATTCTTAACCCCTAAATACCCAAGCCTGGTGACGGAACCACGAATGTTACAAGAGTTGTTTTTTTTTCTGCTAATTCGGAATAAATAATATTTTATAGGCCTAAGTGGTATTTTATTGCAAGGAAAGGAAATCCTGTTGGTGTATAAAATAAACGTAACTCGGGTGAAATCATTAACACAGGTAAGAAAACTACAGATTATCAGAGGTGAAATATGTTGATAGATGTTGATGTACAGAATTTTAAATTTACAAACAAAAAAATGGCTTAAATGACTTGGCATAATAATATTATTATGCTTATTAAATTAAAACCAGTTTTCCTATACCGGTAAGTGACTTTGCATTTAATTAGGTTAACAAAAATTTGAAATAAATCAAATATCAGTGTTCGTCTTCCTATTTAATTCAATTTTTGTGGAAATTATTGGAAACGGTTTCCGAAGTATTACTAAAACTGTATGTCTGATATATTCCGAAGTATTACTAAAACTGTATGTCTGATATAAATGTATAACAAAAACAACTGACGATGAGCAACTTAATATAATAAATACATATATTTACATAATATGTCTCCTTAAAACTCTAGAGGTAAGGTGAAGTGAACAGAAGAACTAAGGATAGCCTACATTTTGTCTAACTCCAACAAATAAATACAGTAGATTATAATATAATGCTGTATATAATCAACAAATTGAAAACTTTAAATTATAATAACAGCATAAATCCATAAAGTTTTCTCCTATTTTCATGAGTAATCATGCAGGCCTACATAGGCCTATTTGACCACTTTAGGTCGCTACAATGAAGATGACAAACAGTAGCCAGTAGCGTATCTGAAGTCTTGAATTGGGGAGGGGGAGAAGGTGAAGTGGGGGGACTCGATGATCAGTTGAGGGGCGCTAATTCGCAAAATATGGTGATTTCAGGTGTGATTTTTAACTACTTGTCCGTGGGTGGAGGGACTGGGGGAAGAGTAATTTTTTTTTGGGGGGGGGGGACCTGCGACCCCGGCACGACTTCCCCTAGATACGCCACTATCTAGCTAACAATTAGTATACTCAAGATTAAGAGGGACTCTTAGATTAGGCCTATAATAAAACTCAAGTCAAATGGTAACGCGAAGAAGAAATAGGCCTAATATAATAATTGAGTGAATGTGAATGCCATACATTTTCTGTGTGCTACGGAATTGCACGTGTCGTTGATTACTTATACCTTTAATTGATCCTACCATATATGAGTAATTTGCCATACGCCAGAAATGATTAACAGTAACAGTTGTTTACGGAGTTTGCATATTATCGTCCCAACTGCTGCAGTTCTTTTTTTTAGAGACGTACTTCGATAGAGTTCTTTGCCCGCAATTAGTAGTTTCGAACCCCGATTTCCCGTCTTGGAAGAAGCAGAGTTTGCAAATTCTGTACAGACTGTTACAGCCAACACACTTGTCAAAACATTCCTAATATTCTAAGATGCTCTACGTATGAGATTATTATTCATATTAAATACTATAAAGACATTTCAAAGATTTGCTTACCTTTAGATGTTATTCTGATAGGCCTATAAATCTATTGAAACAACGTGTATAACAACGGTACAGTATAGTCTCCTCTAGAGAAATGTATGGTATAAAATACGGAAAGTTCACGATACTTCTGATACGATAAAAAATGGCAATACGGCGTGTTCGTAATGTAATTCCTGATAAGATGGAACAGCACCTGTCTTGTTGTTATATGGCCCACTTGTATGTAAATAATGTAACAGAAGTTAAATGGTGTAGTCGTTTGTCTCCACGCCGTGTCTATAAATGCCTGCTTTCTAATTAGTGTTTTTCAGAAGATTTTCTAAAATGACGCATTTCAACAAAAAGTCTTGAAAAGTCGAGATCCACGTTTGGTAACTAAACATTAATGGCCACCATGTATAAATTGCCAAGAGGCGGCAGATCATGTATCTGCAGAACATAGAAGCCATCAAAACGGAGGTTTGGCGAGATCGACACAAATACAGAGTACTGTCGCCTGACCACCAGATACATGGCCGGATATTTCTGGTGACATCACTACTGTTACTGATAAAGGTCCAGGCAATATCAGCTCGTAAGTACTGTTTATAATGGAATACTTTTTATATTTTCTCCCTTATTTCAATGCCTACAGACAGTACTGTGTATCTTTAACCGAAATACTCTTTTTCAGCACCGACAACTCTTGACATCCCATCAAACGTTCCAGCCACCTCAGCTACATCATCTGACGACATACCTTCCTACAGTGGACACTACTTCAAAGATGTCCCCACGGCAGCAGCAACTATTATTATCACGGTCTTTGCGGCCGTGTTCAGTTACGGTCTGTCTGTCATTATTAATGTCTTCTGTCCAGATCAGTGTGACCACAGGGGCAGCTGTGCACCCAAGAACACTACGGTGTTTTGCAGACGCTATAAAAGAACAATCACACCTTCATTAAATAATGGCGAAAAAGAACTGTATCCACATCAACCCTCGATTACGATTATTGGAATACCGAATGGAAGACCTAATCATAACAAGAATGTGCAGACATGGCTCGAACAAGTTGACCACACGATTGGTGTACCAGAAGAGCCCATCAGTAGTGGTGACGGGGAGGTTGAACCTGCTACATTGACTTATGATAATAAAGTTAACCAAGCAGTCGTTGATGCAAAAATGCCGTCTTCAGATATTAGCGGGAATTGTGCAAATAAAGAAGGTTACCAAATGTTTGTTGTTGCACCTGCTACAGATGTGACGAACGATCAAACGACAGGTAGGCAAACGCTCAATATAGAAACTGATAAAACTGCAGTTAAACAAGGAACAGCGGCGAATGAAACACCGATGAAAACAAATCATACACACATCATACAGGCAGAAATAAATTGGTACCCGTCCAAAGAAAAGGCAGCCATTACATTAAGGGAGGGTATTACTTCAGATCCGGAAGTGGACATAGAGGTTAAGCAGAAAGCTTGGAACAGGGAAACTTTGAATAAAAGCAGCAGCAGTGACGCGAAGGAAAGTGAACCATTATTACAATCTCCTTTACAGGGTGGTTCTCCTCTATCATCACAAACGCTTGTCACTAACCAGGGACGTCCTCTCAGTATCACATTGGAATCGATAAGGACAGAAGATACATTCATCGAAGAAGGTCCCAGCAAAGACGAGGAAGAACAATCCTTCGTACCGTTCAATGAGGACGTTGTGTTGAAACCACCGACGTCAGATAATCTTTATCCATATGTTTCATCAATGCAGAATATGGAACGTGAAGAAAAGGAAGACACGAAAGACAAAAATCATGAAAACAGCGGAGGAAACAGCACTGTTAGAAACTGAGAGTACCAGGGAATTTAATTGCAATATCATTTCGGAAATTATTTCAGTTTCAAATACTCTAATTATTTCATTGCTAAAAAGTGTGTTCAGCCAATTATACTTTGATGATTTTGTTTCTATAATAGTACATTGCTGTAATAAAACATAAAATTAAATACAATTTATGCAGTTCTGATTTAAAAAATATATTGAGTTTGATCAGCTTTGCAGCTCTTTACCCCTTATGCTTAGACATTATTGATTATGGGGACCGGGTGTCAAAAAGTAGCGAACTATATAATAACTGTGTCAATTCGGCAGAAATTTCTATTAAAATAAAAATTGTATTGGCATTTTAATCACATCTTGCTGTTATTACATTGTGAAAAGGTCCAAAAAATTATGATCACGACCCACCCAGAAAGAAATCCTGGATACACCCCTGTGGCGCTGTAATCAATTTTCCTGTCTCCCACTGAAAAGGTCCAAAAAATTATGATCACGACCCACCCAGAAAAAATCCTCTATACACCCCTGTGGCTCAGGGACGTAACACATTGATGTCAAAAATAAAAACCTATATAGCACCAGTTACCTTTTATAACCTAAGACCTCTTGAGAGTTACCATACACGTAAATAAACAAAGTAAATACCATTATAGGCCTAATGTATCAGGAGACTCTCGAGAGTCAACATATGGGGTATCAGACAAAGCGTCTACTGGAACTATTTTCCTGGACATTTTAGGCGGAGTCTCATATTTCTGTCGGTGACAATGCATGTAAATAAAATACGATGTATCTTCAATAGCATTATGTCAACATACACTGTGCAATGTAACCATGGCAGCAGCAATACATAAAATGGTTTCTTTTAGAGTAGACCTATTATTTCATTTGCAACCAAAAGGAAATTTCCAACTACATGGTCAAAATAAATTGTGAAGATACTTAGAATATGAAGTCTGTAAAATATGCTCTCTCCTAAATTATAAACTTTAAAAGTCATAAAAAAAAAACAAAAAAAAAAACAAAAAAAAAAACTGGTACTGAATTTGAATGTACAGCAATGGGACAGCTAGCATCAAGCTAAACCTCTACATCATACTCATTATCATACAAATAAATAATCAACAACAGTAAAAGAAGTCGGGCTTATAAAAAGTATTTCTGTAATTAAATCGATTTATTAATAAAAAAAGTAATTTATATTTTCTCCAATTAGCTTTATTGTTGTTGCAATTTATGATCATTTATATAAAAAAAATTATACAAAATTCCTACATCTGAGCATTAAAAAAGAAGTAGTGATTTAGCATTTGCTAAATAATATATTTAATTTCATATCGACTACTATTTTCTTAAGAAAAAAATTTTCAAATTTTCATTCTTTACCAATTCGGTATCATAAATACTATTAATAAACATAATTATAATTATTCAGTTCTCACAGAGCTATATATAAAACAC